AAAAACCATGTTGTCCAACATTCAGTAGCCTAATTGTCACTCCTTTTGAGAGAAACTGCTAAAACACTTATGTTTTGAATTTTAAATTTAGATACTAGCATCTAATTCTGTCCAAAAGAAATTCCACCTGTTCAAATAAGAATCTTACATGTCATGATATTTCACATTTTTAATGGTGCTTTGGTTCTTGGATAAGCTAAATGAGGGAATATTTTTCTCAATACAAGGGTTATTTATGTTTTCCATGTTGGATTCTTGGGCTAATGGAAACGTGGTAATGTCGAAGGATAAAACATGTGAGTTAACCCTCAATTCATTTGATTATTCATCATTTGGCAGTCCTTTTATTTTTAACCCCGTGACTCTTGGATTAAGTCTTTTGTTGTTGAGCGTTTAAATTGGATGATTTTTAGTAATTTGTTATTTTATATAAAGTGATGATTTAATATATTTTTTTTAAAAATCTATTCAACAGAAATTTTTGCAACTAAACCAAACTACGATAATTTATTGAGTTAGAGTTGGTTCAAATCGTAAAATATATTTAAAAAATAGGCCTTTTGTCCGTACATTACACAAGTTGTTATTCAATTTTTTATAGGTTAAATACCTTTTTTGGTCCCTCTACTATAGGAAAAAGCCTTTTTTTAGTCCCTGTACTGAAAAAATCTCTTTTTTGATCCTTACTGTTCACAAATTTGGTCTCTTTTTAGTCATTCTGTTAAATTTTGGCTGATGTGGCAGGTTAATTAACGAAAAATTTTATTTTTTTTCTTTATTTAAATTACGTGTGAAATCCATTTGGCAAAACTTAATGACATGCCCAAATTTTTTATCTTTAATTATCAATTTACCCTAATTTTCTTCCCCCATCCTCTCCTTCCTTTAGCCTTTTTTTTTTTTTCTTTTTTTTCTTACCTTTAGGCAAACCTAGGCAAACCCAAGGTTCACGATGAACCCACAAGCTGGATTCATTGCAAACCTAGGCTAGGTTCGTTGCGAATTCAGGCTAGGTTTGTCGCGATGAACCCTACTCGTGGGTTCGCAACGAACCTAGGAGTGTTGATTCGTGACGAACCCAAGAGCATGGGTTCGTGATGAACCTAGCTCCTAGGTTCGTTGTGAACCCAGTCGCTTGGGTTCGTCACGAACCCAGGCTCTCGGGTTCAAGACATGGTCCTCTTGTGGTAATTTGCAACACTTCAAGCACGGAAAAATGTTAGTTGGTAAGATTGGATTGATTTGGTTAAATGATTCTGTGATTAATTGAGCACCAAGACTTGGGTTAATTAACTATTTTTAACAAGGTCTTCCAAGATGGAAGTTGAATAGGTTTTGTTGGTTTGCGATGAACCCAGTCGCCTGGAGGTGATCGGTTTGATTTTCTAGTTTAGGCCATTGACATTGAGTGCTAGAATTTCAGATCCTCAATTTTCAATTTCTTGAAATTTTTGCTGCTTTTGGGTTCATTTCCGTTTCTGTTGTTGGATGTTTCTAGAGCTGTTTGTTTGAGAAGAACATGCTTTCTTTTTTTTGGCAAGGATTGAGAACCCAGCTCGCGCCTGGGTTCGCGACTTGGCACAGATTGAGAACCCAGCTTGCGCCTGGGTATGTCGCGAACCCAAGCGCGAGCTGGGTTCATTGCCAACCCAATCACACGACCTGGGTTCATTGCCAACGCAGTCGTGAACCCAATTGCGCGAGTTGGGTTCATCACAAACCCGCAAGTTGGGTTCACTTGAAGGTAAAAGGAAAAAAAGACAAAAAAAGAAAAAAAGGCTGGAGGAAGTGGGGTGACGTGGAGTCCACGTAAACATATTTTACGCATTGGCATACCCACGTCAGTTGTTCTAGTTAAGTTAATATGCCATGTAAGCAAAAATTAACGGAAGGACCAAAAATGGACCGGATTTGTGAACAGTAAGGATCAAAAAGGAGATTTTTTTGGTACAGGGACTAAAAAAGAGCTTTTTCCTATAGTAGAGGGACCAAAAAAGGTATTTAACCTTCTTTATATTAGAGCTTGCATATTATACTATTTTTTTAAACAATTCTTAAATTTTATAATAATTTTTTAGTTAAAAGGTTTTAATTAAATGATTAAAGTTGAGTTCGAAATTACTTTTGATAATTAGCAATACTATTTTTTCAAGAAATTGTACAAAGTCATATTATAAAGAAAAAATATTAAGAGAGTTCAAAAAGTATTCAATATTAATTTTTATCTCATAATCCAAATAAATCCATTCTTTTTTATACCGTTATCTCAATTAATGATTTAAAGATATTTTCGTTTCTCTCAATTAAAAAACTAAAGTTAAATGATAACATAATTGTGTTCCTTCAAATCTTGCATTTTAATTGCTTTAGAGTTATAATCAAATTACAAATAAAATAAATAACACTCTTATTAATTTATTTTTTAGTAATATTAGCTCGTGTGTTGTATGGAATTTTTTAATTTTATATCTATATTATATGATTTTCTTTCATATATATTTTTATGATAAAGTTATTATAAAAAAAAAAACAAATTATATTTGTTAATTAGATTGGAAGACAAAAGTGTCAGAGCTTTTTGTATTATGTATTAAAAAAATATGTTTTTGAATTTATATTGCATTGAAATATGTTTTTACACTTTAAGGTAATTTTGTATTTTTACAGCTCAAACTACTTTTTGTGTGGTTTAATTTGAAAAATTGGGCTCCCATGTATTGTTAATTTATTGTTAATTTGAGTTTTAAAACTCTTTCAATCGATCAAAATTAGAGACTATTTCAATTTTATAACATTAATCTTGTCACTTTTGTTTTATCTTTATTCTTTTTCTAATTTTTTAGTGGTTCGTCTTAAGCCAGTGTTTTTAGTTATAATAGTCCTTATTATTTGACTAGGATTTGAAGTCTTATTTATTTATTTAAATTTAAGCTACACAATGAATTCAACTTTTTATTATCTATTTACTTGATTACATTAGGTTGCTCAAGTCATTGGTTTTGAAGTATCATTTAGATTAGTCATATTAGTTCTATTTAAGTCCTTATTTTGCTAACGGGATAGTGATTGGTATTTATTTTTGATCAACACGTTACACAACACATATATTAAGAAATAATTTCTTTTTAGTCTGAAATGAAATGCAGACAAACTTAAAGATGAAGCAATGCATACAGAATATGAGAACCAACTAAATTGATTGCATTTATATTATATTTTAATAGTTAAACCTTGATGAATATGAGAAAATCTATTAAACCTATTAAACTTAGTGTATACAAATAATTTTCCAAACAGGTTATATGTTGTTCAAGTTTTTTCATGTGTTTTTGTGTCATTGACAATTGATGTTGTAATAAAAGCAATCGTTTTTATATGTATCATATTT